TTGATGAAAGGTGGACGGTTCAGCTTCATCAACCTTTACATGCAGCGGGGCATATTTTGAACCCCGAATCTTTTATACAAATAACGAGAACAAGACTTTAGATAAAGCAGTGTGGAAGGGGCATCATGCATGTGTTGCGAGGTTGGTGCCAGATGAAGCGATGCAAGACAAAATAGGGGAAGAACTTGGGTGTGTATATGCAAGCCGATGGAATACTTGGATTAGCTTCGGCCATTAGAGCCAGAACCAAATTGGCACCAGGTGAGCAAGTTGTTTCAATTGTTTTTACTCTTTAGAGCTTTAACTTTTAAGTTAATAACTTCTAAAATAATATCTTTACAGTTGAATGGTGGATGCAATTTGGTTATGAAGTTCCAAACTTGCAACAATTTGCTATTAGAGTTCAAAGCTTAACTTGTAGCTCATCCGGATGCGAGAGAAATTGGAGTGTTTATGAACATGTGAGAAGCTATATTACATTATTACTAAATCAAAGTATATCTCAATTGTCCTAAGTACTCCTCTTAATTACTTTCTACAACCTATATGCAGATTCATACTAAGAAGAGGAATAGGCTTGAGCTAAAGAAACTCAATGATCTCGTGTTCGTTAAATATAATAGAACATTGGCTTGTCGTTACAAAGCTCGCAATATCATTGATCCAATTTTATTGGATAACATTGATGAAGCAAATGAATGGTTAACCGGAGCCCCCCCAAAATCATGAAGATGAAGAAGTATATGAAGGAGAAGGCCTTACTTTTGGTCATGTTGCTATGGCAAGTGGAGTTGAGGAGAATGTTTATGGTTTTAGGGGAAGTACTTTAAGGAGCAAAGAAAGAGTTTCTACAAGTTCAAGTAGAACCCTAATTGATGAAGCCTCCGATGAAGAAGAAGATGACCACCAATATAATAACTCGAACATGATGACACTTCAAGAGTTTGGAGATCTTGTTGAAGAATAGGATGTTGCCCCTTTTTTCGGGCATCTTTGTTGTCCTAAAAATGACATTAAATAACCCAGTGAGCCACTCCAAACCCGCCCTACCCACGCTCTTCCAAAATTCCACGGGATCTCGTCAGGGCCGTCGCTCTCCCCCTGCTCATCTTACACATAGCCCTCTCAACCTCCTCAGCGCTTATACTCCTACAATACCCAAAGTCCCGACGACACTCAGAGTGTTCTAAGTTGCCTAGCTCAATTTTTTTTTTGGTTTATAGGTATGCTTAGAATGGTATTCATATTTGATTTAAAAGTATGTTTAGAAATGATGTTCATATATGATTCACCCCTTTTTATTTGATTCACCTCTTTTTAAATTTATGGTGCTCATGTGTTTCCTTTAAGAGGATCTCTTACTATGAAGTAGTTCAAGAGACAAAAAGCTTTGTTGAAGCTAACTTGATTGGATGTTAAATTTATGCAGATTTGGTTTAAAGGATTGATGTGCTTGCATGATGACACTGGGGGTAAGTTATGTTTCTTAGCTCATCTCCTAAATTTTCAATTCTTTTACTTCTTTTCCTAGATTATATCAAGTAACCAAATTTGTTTCATATTTGTAGTTGTTAGTTCCTCTAGAAATGAGATATTGAGGTAAGCTAGTAGTATATATTTTTAATTTATTCCAGAATTTTTTTTGCACTTTTTGTTACTTTTGTTTGAAGTTAGCTCCAAAAGATTTTAATTTTGGTGTGGTTTGGTTTAGTTTAATAAATTAATTATTGGTTTATTTCATAGTTCCAGCATAGTGATATGCAGAGTGAGTCTGCTTCACTCATGGGCGGAAGAGTATCACGAGGTGACAACAATATAGACCACCAAGCAAATACATGTCACTTTTATATATTTATTTATTGTTGACCTACTCTAGATTGTAAAATGTTCAAGCTACCATATACCGTATGTGTTGTATAACCTTAGTTTGATATGAACTTGAATTTGTGATGTTGGTTTGTTTAGATACTTTTAATGGAATTAAATTTACGGTGTATTTATTGAATCCTAGAATTAAAATTTTGAATAGAAAAAAAATATTCTGGCAGTTATAAGCTGTCAGTATTTAATTTTTTTTAAAGATTGAGATAGAAATTGTGGGGGTTTATAACTCTCACATAATATTTTTTTAAAACATTGAGATCATATTTGGAAGGTTATAAACCGTCACTGATTGCCTCTAAAACCCCCCACAAATTATAAATTGATTTTGTGACGGTTGTCGTGGAGGTTCTTAAAAACTCCCACAGAAATGCTTGTGGCGAAGGTAACTGTGATATTTTTTAAATCCGTCACAATATATTTTGTGGAGGTTAAAAACTGCCACAAATCTTTAAATTAACCCCCCACAAAATGAGCTCTTTCTTGTAGTGTTTGACTCGGCTCCAATTTTTCCAAAATTTTGTGGAAGGAGCTAAGGGAGGTCCCCTTTCACATAAGACTTGGCTAATGCCTATCTTCCAGCTAAACTTCAACAAATCCATTTCCACTAGTATTTCACTTCCTCCCAAAATTATCTCACTGACTCACTCTAAAAGACACAACTAAAACCAATTATATCGTACCAAACAACTTATCATTACTAAGATCTTATCAATGTACTAAAAGAACAAAGAAAGTAGTTCATATCATCTTTATAATTATAATTGTCGGCATTGTTGTAAAAGCAGTATCAAACAAAAACAGGAACATGGATTTGAATATGGTGCCACTTACTAGCTAATATTAACTTTTAATCCCAAATGTATAGGATATAAAGAGAAAATTGATAACATTTTTTTGGTAACTAACTTTTCCATTAATCGCCAGTGAATAAATACAAAACCATGGCTTAATTAGCCAAATAATCAGCAAATTAAAACCTATAACTCTGCAGCATAGTTCTTATTCCAGTGCAAGTGTAGGCAATCTATTTTTTTTTGTTGAAATTTTGAAGGGTCTTAAACCCACTTTTACAAATTAGGTATGTAGTAAATACAAAATACGTGGTCAATTGTTATAAGGATCCGTTTGGACATAGATTTTTGTTACTTTTTTTTCAAAAGAAAAATAAATTAAAACAATATTTGTTTATAGAATTTGATCATTTTTTTAAAAAATTGAAATAAATTTTTAAGTTTTTAAAAACTGGTTTAGAGTATTTTTTGGATGAAATTTTTTCTTTCACTCATAAAACTTTAATTTTTTTTAAATAAAATGTATGTTCAAACACAACTTCACTTCAAAAAAACTATTTTGATTCGTTTAGTGTCTAATTAATAGGAATATGAAATTGTAGCCTCGAGCACCGTTCCCTCTGTCCAACGGTAATATAATTCCCCTCAAACGCGTAAATTATATGGACCCCATTATTTATAGAAAAAAAAGGGACAAAAAATGCATGGCTGTCAAAGCTAAATAAATAACCTAAGCTTGTCATCTTCTGTTCGGCTTTGCATGGCGCTAAGTCTTCAACAACAATCAAAGTGTTTGCATTTACAACCCCATATCGCCTCTTTCTTCCTATTCACTCTTTTACTTTTGTCTTTTGGTTTTTTCTTTTTTGAAAATTGCTTCAGTTTTAATGCTTTGGACTAACAAGTTCAAAAAAAAAAAATCCGCAAAAAGAACTCGGGCCTAACTCAATGCATTTAAGTTGTATGTAAATAATGGCGGAGCTACTTTTTAAGCAAGCGGTGTCACAAAATTATACTGTATAATTAGGATAAAATATATATAAGCTTCTTCGTGCGATTAATTTTTTTTATATTTTGACATCCCTTACTAAAATAAATTGGCTCCGGCTCTACCGCTGTATTCAAAAAGTTAAAAAAAAAAAGCAAATATATGACCTCCTCCACACTGACGTGGGGAAACATTTTCACTGTTCTTGGTTTGGTGTTGAGTATTCAATACTTGAATACTGAAAATTAACGTAATCATATATATCATTAGTGCAATAATAAAATCTTTTTACTGTTTTATATATCAACCTTGCTAGAACCTTGCAGCTGTTTCTGAAACCAATCATTCTTAAAAAATATATGCATGGGTATGTTTTTTTTTCCACATAACAAGGGTGTGAGAAGGTACAATATAAAGGACAATAAGACTATATAGGAGTCTCGTGACGCTATTGTTAGAATTATATAAATAAAAGAATAGTACTTCATTATTTACTAGCATAAAATTATTTTTGCTAAGGCGTGTGAAATGGCATCCTTTACTAAAGAATGTTCGTGATTCGTGAAGGCGTGAAACCATGACTTTGACTATTATATATGTGCGAGAATTATGAGGCGTTACTCTTGCGGGTGTCGCAAGTTTGTTCAGTCTATAAACTTATATATATGCACTACTAATGTACTCTTTCCATTCTAGTTGATGTGACAGTATTTTTTTTTTTAATTTATTTAAAAAAGAATGACTATGTTTAAAATTTAGAAACAATTTAAATTAAACTTCTCATTAAGTTTTTATAGTCACACAAAAATTATGTTATATATCTTTTTAACGAAAAAAAATTATATATATATAGAAGAGAAGAGAAGACTAGGCAGATGGTTAGAAGTGGTTCCCCATAGAAAGAACATTAACGATAAAGGAGATATATAGTAACGGTATGTAAAAATGAATGAATTTTTTAACACTGCAACATTGTTATATATATATATATATATATATATATATATATATATATATATATACACACACATTAATATTAAAGGAATAATTCGAACACATATTCGCTCCTAAGTTCTCGTCAGGGTACTCTGCATGTGAAAAGTTGGTAGTTGTTATTCATGCTTGAATTATTTAATACAAGCTTTTCTTTATAAATTAAAACCAATCATTCTCGTAGCAATTTTTAATATAAAATTATAAAAGCCTCATCCTCTCTCACACGATTTAGAGTGTATTGTTTACTATCACTCTAAGTCTCAACTCACCCCTCCCGCTCCAGCTTCAAGAAAAGAAAAGGTTAGTATTTACCTTCTGCTTTGACACTTTATTCACTAACATTCTTGAAATGCTGCTATTGTCTGAAGTAAATGTTTCGTATAATCTAAGAATTCTCTTTTTACTAGTTCTTAAGTTGCTTTTTTCATTCCATATACACTGAGATTGTCCCTATTTTGGTTAATATATAGGCTTACTTGTGGTTTAAACAAGGTTACAAGTTTAACCATTTACTTGCTGCAAACTCCAATTCTATTGAAAGAAATGCAGGTGCATTTTGGATATACTGGAATTATAAGCAATTCCATCATTGTCTTGCTTAATGCTTACCCCAAACCAGAAATAGTTACATACATGCTTTATCCTCTGTCTTTGGTGTGAAATCCAAAAAGCTAATTTTCTTTGGTAGTTAATAGTTGGTAATCAGATAGAGAAAACTTAATAGTTTTACCTAGAACTCTTCATTGTATTTTTTTTTTTTTTTT